GGCGGGAGGGCTGGGGCCCGGGCCCAGGTACAGGGCCAGCAGCGTGTGGAAGAGCCGACGTCGGTAGGCCGGCTCCCTGCCCGCGGAGCGCCAGGCGCAGTAGTCCTCGGCCGCAGGGAAGTCCCCCAGCTCGAGCGCCAGTGTGCGCAGGGCCTGCTCGTGCTCCTCCAGCTTCCCGTGCAGGATGGCCCTCTCCATGGGCAGGCCAGCGCCCCGCACTCTCTCTGTGGGCAGAACCATGGGTCAGAACAGCGCGAGGTCAAGCTGGCGCCTGGCTGCTCCTACGCCCCGCCCAGACCATGTGGAGAGGCGTCCGTGTCCACGCTTTGCATCTGATGTCACAACGCCAAAGACACGTACTACCTCACTAAGGACAGGCAGGTCGCAGAATACAGCTTTGCTCAGAGTTTAGAGACTGAACAAAACACATGACCCTGGTCTCAGAAGGCCCAGGAGACCTGCGTGCCAGCCTGGGGCCTCCAACCAGCCCACAGGACCGCCTGTCCAGTGAGTGCCTCTTGACTAACGCAGAAAAGCATCACAGGTAACGTCACCTCTCGCCATACAGTTGGCCAAACCCCTTTATTCTAATTTGAACTCTATTCCATGCAAAGGCATATGGGTTCACATTGTTAAAATCCATGTCTACATCAACCTAAAGCAGTGGTCGGCAAACTGGGGCTCGCGAGCCACATGTGGCTCTTTGGCCCCTTGAGTGTGGTTCTCCCACAAAATACCGGCTCTTCCACAAAATACCGACTTCTGCGCCTGGGCCACAAAGTTTCAATCGCACTGTACGTGCATGCCCGCACGTGGTATTTTGTGGAAGAGCCACCCTCAAGGGGCCAAAGAGCCGCGGTTTGCCAACCACGGGCCTAAAGCAAGCATGTCAAACTTGTAACCCACAGGCCGCATGTGGCCCAGCCAATATGACAGTATGTAAGGAAAGTTTTAGTAAAAAACTCGTAACTTAATTTTTACAATATCCTGTTACACATAATCTACACTAATAAAAGAGAAAAATGGTAATTGGCGTACGACGCTACCCTTTTCATTGGCTAATCAGGGCTATATGCAAATTAACTGCCAACTCAGATGGCAGTTAACTGCCAACAAAGATGGCAGTTAATTTGCATATGTAGGCACAATGCAGGGAGGCGAAAGGGAAAGCAGGAAGAAGTCCCCTGCCACTGACAGTGATCGGAAACCCAGGGGGGAGCTAAGAGCTGGGGGGCAGGGCAAAGGCGGCCCCTAGGGAATCGGGCGCCTTTGCCA